ATCTGCAATAACAGATAGCGAGGTTTTAAAGGCAGCTTGGTTGAGGGGATGAGGGTGAATGTGGATGCTTGCTGTCTTGCTGTCTAGCTGTCTCTGCAAGGTCTGTCTCCAGTGTTCAACTTGTGATTTGCCTGCAATTTGGTACCTAATTATTGTGCCAAAACATCCAAATTCAGCAATAAGTTGCTTATCTTTCCTTCCTAAATAAATAGCAAATATAGAGCAGAACTTTTGTTTCAAACTGTTGTTTGTTTTCTGTGTCTTCAAAATATTTTTACTTTAAAAAAATTGAAAAAAAAAGACAACAAGGGACTGAAGTGTAGAAGGAAATAATTTCTTTCTGAAATTTTGAAGTTTCAACCTCTTTTTTGCTGTTTAATGCTGGCAAGAAGAAACAGTGAGAGAAAGCAGATTTATCTTTTCCCCTTCTACTCCTTTCTTTCTTTCCTCTAAAAAACACCAACAGAAAATCTGATAGACTGCTGTAGCTTTCTGAGGTACTAGCTCAAGTGTTTATTCCCACAGAAAGGAGGCTTGACTGATGTTTTCTTTAACTAAATGTGTGTCTTAGGCATAATGTTAAAAAAGGTCACTGGACAAAAATGACTTGTAGGCTTGCATACAATACCTAAGAAACTTAAGGCAACCTGCCTTAAAACAGAAAACTTCAACCTGAATGAAATGGAAGATATTTGCATTTAGACCCAACCCAAGCTGGGCATATGGAGGAGAATGAAGTCCTGAAAAACACAAAACATTTAAAAAATGTTAATAGTATTTAAAAAACCCTCCTAAATACAACTGAATAATTAAATACTTATTTTTCCTTAGCATTAAAAAAATGCATGAAGGAAGTTGTCTCGTCCCACTCAGTGGATTGTGAGAAACGTGAATCTTTGAAATCTCACTGGATAGAGCACTCCTTGCTCTCCAGAGGTCACTGGGGCAATGGAGTCAGACCATGACTCAGAGGAACAATACAAGACAATTTACTGAGCTTTCTTACTACAGATAATCAACTACTTTGAGACAAAAATAGGCAATTTTCTAACAATTAATACCATCATGGGTAATGGTATTTGGCATAGGTGTTATTTCCTTGTCAACTACTTTAAAGCAAATTCAGGCAACACTAGTAAAGAAAAATGAGTAAACAAAGATTGAGAGGAAGGAGATTGAGAGAGAGAGGGAGAGAGAAATGATTTAGAGGTAGATGTATTTCACCACTCCTGGATCCAGTTTTGTCTTGAGTCTGGGGTTTTGATCTCTGAGTGGTGAGTTGACAAAGGTAAACATATGTGTTCACTGTTACATAGTCTAGTTAGTCCAAGCCTGCCCTTTGGAGTGGCACTCCACTTGTATCTAGAAGATTCAGGAGTTTTTGATGAGGGTCTTTGGTGGCTGTGCACCCCCTCTTCCCTTTTCCTGATGTTTATCAGCTGTAAGGAGCCATGAGAGGAAGTGAAGATAAACCATGCTTCCAGACTGATCAAGGTGGTATTACGGCTTCCACCTTGAGTAGTCAAAGCTCCATTCTTTCATTCTCAGACGGTTGCTAAGGCTAGCTTTCAGCCAAGAAGTTCCTTGTAAGGCTCAGACAGAAGTATAAAAAGGGAAATGTAGAAATTTAAATTTTGTGTCTTTAAGATCAGATTTAGATCTTTGGCATTTTGGCATTCTATTCTTTCTGGAATTCCTTGCAGAAGAAAATTTTGGATGGAGATAGAAAATGAGGATAAAATATGACATTAATTTGCACTGGAGTAGCAAATATTCTACAGGAGTTTCAGGTCATTAATCTGTCTTCTAACTGAGGGAACTACATTAATAGCTTATGGGATTTACAGGGCACACATCAATTTAATAGTTTACCCTAAGTTTGGAGAAAATAGGAATGGGCAAGAAGATGGACGATATATGATATCTCTATGCATTAAAATCAATAGCTTCTATTTAACCTTTGTCTCTTGTCTCCAAAATGGAAACAAACATATTTGCCTACCTTATGCTAATGCAAAGAGAATCATTTTAGTTAATAAGCTTTACTTGTGTTTCTGTGGGGTAGGGACTGGTTTTTTTAAGTGTGAAGTCAGTATAGACAAAAAATATTTGCAGTGAAGCAGAAGATCCCTATAATGTCACTGTTTCAACTGCAGCGTGTTTTAAGCAGCTCTTGTCATTGGAGTCCTGCCTGTGCATTGTAATTTGTGTTTTTAAACTGTAGTATTTTCCAGTGTTCTGAAGCAAGGAGGGAATCCCTTTTTTGCTCCTTGTTTTTGGAGATATGAGATAACTTTGAAAATGGAGAAAGAAATACACTGTGCAGTTTGCAGCTCATTTGTGAAAAGCTTCAGAACTAGAACTGGGCAATAATACCATTCTTAATAGTTGAAACTATCTCTACAGGAAAGAGTCATGTTAGTACAGTACCTATAAATCAGTTTTGGTGCTGTGCATCATCAGATATGCAACCTCTTTTAATGTGATAATTCCCATAATTTGGGTACTGACCTTGTTCTGTGTTGTACAGACTTGTAATCTGTGTTTTTTTCAATGATCCCCACAGGTGGGATATTTCTAATGTGAAATCATGCTGTGAGACACCTCTGAGTGTGCTGGGAAGACGGGATTATAAATATTCATTGCTTTTGCAACCTTGGGCTATGAATGTTTCAGAATTTAGAAACTAAACAAAACTGGATCTAGTTAGAGGGAAAAAAAACAGCAACTACAACAGCAAAAAAGCTTTGGTAAATCCAGGTGATGAATAAAGCAGAAAGGGCGAGAAAATGAGAGTTTTTCTGCTAGGTTGATTCTGAACTAATGTGCCAATTGCATCAGCTCACATATGAAATTTGTAACAAAAACAAGACAGGCTGGATTTCCCCTCTCTTAAAAATGAAATAACTGTTCTGTAGCCTTGTTTCATCACTGAAGAACAACATGTTGCAAGCTGTCGTCACCTCACATGTCCGAGGAACAAGTGTGGGTGCCACCAGGCTCTCCTTATCCCCAACCCATGGTGGGACCTTAATTGCTGACAACACCTGTGGTGCAGCCAAAATGTCATGCACCCGGAGGGGAAAAGCCTGTCTTGAATCACGTACAGTGCCACTATAAGTTCCTTTCAGTGGCATGCCTGACAAGTGAGAGATGAAGGGCAGTAGAAGATCACTTCATTCTTTTCTGGCTTAACTTGTCTAGGTACAAAAGAAGGACTCATTACCACTCAGCCTCTACATGTACTCTGTGACGAGACGTAGCAAGGCTCAGTCCTCAATCTTTCTTCCTGGGATTGGGTGGAAATGTGTCTTTTACTGTTGTTGTTTCTTAAAGAGAATCTTTGCAGATAGATGATCTCCATGGAAGGTATAGTCTTTTATTCTTTTCTCTGGGCACTGACAGATCCCTGGGTTTATGCAATGTAAGTTTTAAATGGACATGCAGGATTGCAGGCTGCTAGAGGGTCTGGAGGAGTACTGGTCTGTACCCAAAGTTCCTAATCCTGCCTGACTCAGAACATAACAGTTTTCCCACTGCATTCATCCCCATGTTAATTTTTATTGTGCAAAAATAAAGTTCAACTAGATTGATGTCTCGCTTGTGATTTATTATGCAATATGAATTCAGTGGGAAAACAGGGATAGCCACATCCGGGAGGGACCATCAGGAGGGGATTTTAAGGGTCTGTTGTGGTGGAACATGGTAGCATCAGAAATTAAGATGAATTCAAAATGTAGATCCACCTCCTCACAAACTGTTGCTAGTAAGTTTTTTTCTCTATATATGAGATTCTGGTGTTGCTGGGAAAAACCTAGAGGAAAATTTTCTGGCAGAACAGATGAAAATGTGATAATTCTTCATGACCTGTTTTTTTATAAGATTATGGAATTGCATGAATCACTGTGTATTTCATAATGATAGGAGCAAGAAAATGCCTAGGTAGATACAGCTGGGACAGTTAAGTCAGAAGGTGAGTTTAGGACACCTCCTTCCATCTCTTTCTATTTCTTTTTGAGAAGAAGAATTTTACTGAAGTCTTCTGGAGAGCATCCTAATGTCACCTGAACCTCAAGATCCACCAATGTTACAAGGATTTAACTCCCCACCATGTTCCCAGGGGAGCTCCACTTGAGATGGGATTCTGAGGGTCATCAGTCAGAGACATAGAGGGCACTTAGAGAACGCAGAGCATTTCCCCTCTTATTTATGCCACAACACCAATTTTCTATTTTTTCCCCAGTGTCCCAGCAGAACTGCTCTGGAAAGCCAAACACTAAAATGTTGGAGATTTTTAAAATTAGCCTTTTAACAAACATTACTATTATGAACTAAAAGGGGAAGGGAAAGAGGGAAACATTTTAAGCTACCTTCTGTGCTGGAGAGGCAGTGATGCCAGATCATCACCCTTTTCATGTGAGAGACACAAAGCACAGCAGCATCTGTACAAGATACTTACCTTGGTGCTTGTGGCTCTTTAACAGAGCTAAGTACACCATCTTTCAAAAAATATATTGTGTATACAAAGTACAAAGCTAGCAGAGAAGTGGTTACACCCATAAAAAACTTCTCCCCTAAGATCTTGTCCCCCACCTAAGCTTACATAGTGACTCATGCATTTACATTCCTCACACTTCAGATGGCATCTGCTGCTACACATTTGTTGTAGGATCTGTCTGTGAACAGCTGGTGACAACCCACTTCCTCTTGCTTTCTTCGGTAGAGATTTTTTCAGTTGTTATTGTTTTGATGTGAAACCCAGTGTTGGAAAAACAAGCCCATTTACCCTGATTAGAACCAGCCTTTTAAGTACATGCCAATTAACAAACCATTTGTTATTCTCCTAAGGACCAAGGAAATACTTTCCTTTTCTCTGATTTCACTTTGCCTCTTTTCAGTTTATTTATTTTTTTTTTCCCAAATATGATACCACACATAGCTATTTTCTGTTTTAATGGAAAATGGTCTTATTTCTCTTTTGCTCCTTTTGTCCTTTGTAGCTGGAGACAAAGGAATCCTTTGCTTTCTTTCAAGATAATCTTAATTAACCTGGTGAAATAACCATGCCATCTTCCTAAGCATATAGATTCTATGCCACTAATGGTGAGTATTACTGACGTGACAAACCCCACACTGTCCTGAGTTCAGCAGGGACAGAGGTTTTTGTTGCTTTTTCTTTTCTGCCTTCATAGTATGGTATGATGCTGCTGCCAGGTTAAACCTCATGGCATACTCACATTTGAAACAATGATACAAAACAACAACAAAAATGTGATATATTTTAGTTACTTAGTGTCAATTCTACTATCAGGCCTTACAAAATTAACAGACTTGATTTTTTAGCAAAATTAGTAACACTTTAGTTTACACTAGCCAAGCACGTCCACCAAAACAGAAATTTGCCTTTAGGGTTTTGATCTCAACTCTGTCAAATCATAGACTATGTTTTATACTTTGCAAATAAATATGTACAAAAAAACTGAGCTTAAATTAGTTACCATTATTACATTGCTTCCTCTCATCCAGCACATCTAAATTTCCTTGCCAGGTATCAGTATTATTACTTAAATATTTTGAGGAATTGCTAGACTTTCAAGTATGACTGGCTTGTTTCCATTTTTGAAAAGACAGTTGCCTCAGATAAATCTGGAAGTAGCTGCTTCAGAAGCTGTGTATAATCCTGTTTATAGGACGTACATGCAATAAAGTTAAGGTCTCCTCCACTTTAAAATGTTTCATGTATTTATTACTAATTTGATGTCTGGAACTTTCTGTAAGAAATTTCCCAGGCTTCTTCCTACCCCTTCTTACAATTCAATTTGAAGTTACAATCTATGTTAATTAGATAATATTGTGCCATTTAGCCCTGTGAGTGATACCTGTTCTCATCTTCACCTATACACCTGTCCCTTCACATATAGGTATACTTATGGTACATTGCTATTCAGCTGTTCTGAATCTCTCCACATTAGTATCTTTGGCAGCTGTTGCATTACTCTGAGGTGAGTTTTACCTTATAAATGCCGGAGAGTATCTGACTGCAGAGGAAGACATCTTCTTGGGGAGGTCATATTTGCCTTGTACCATTTCTAAATGTGTTGTTTCACCCTCTCTAATAAATAGCTCCTCTAGCCTTGAATTTAAATACAAACCTGCTTTTTTTTTTTTTTTTTTTAATTTGTTTGTTTCCTGTGGTGAGAGTGTATTTCAATCACTCTGCTGCTCAGGGGAAATTGAAAACAGGATTTGTTTTGAGTTCTCATTTGCTTTCCCAAGATGGATCAGTTGAAACCTGTTATAACACTAATGTACTTAAAGATGTATTATGTACACTTCGTTAAAATGCTGAGGGAAAAAGCTTGACTTTTGCAGTTGGTTTGGCCTGATGCCAGGATTTTCCGTGAAGCTGTACAAAGAAGCCAGAAGGGAATTATTCACATATTGATATGCATCCAGCATTACTGTACTCATTTGCTGTGAACCTGTGCCCTTTTTTAAGTATATTGGAAAAGACAATGGGGGGGTTACAAATGGGCTAAAGGTACACACTTTCTGTAGAGCTGTGCTAATCGAGGGCTGACGTGAAACATTTGGATGAGCCTGCTCCCCAGGTCTAATGTCAAAACAAAATACTTGTGCATTACAGAAACAAATAAAAGGTTTCTCATTGTCTGCATTGCAAGTCCTAGTATGAGCAGACATGCCAAAACCCTAGATTTTCATTTTTTTGCATTGAACCATAAAGGTTACTTTACATGTAATGATGATATAGTTCTTACTGTATTACCTGTAATTTCCACTTGAGAATACCTCAGTGATTCTCTGCAGCTGAATGCATAATGTCTCAGTCCCTGGGGCAGTATTGGTAACAATTTATACCGTGGCAACCTATTTTATGGCTGATCTATGAATAGCAGTGCCATTTGTCACATAGTTGAGAGTTCTGCCTGTTCAACATAGCTGATGACAAATTTTAAGTTGAGATAGTTTTATCCTTCAGTTCATAGTCTGACTCTTTCTCACTGCTGTATCTTTTGGTGCAGGCTTACCTTTTTGTGCCCTTTACAGTCTCCAGGAGAAGACTGATCTGCAGATAATTGGATATTCAACACCCATGTTTCAATTATCATATTATTTGAAGAATCTGGTGCTTCACTTAATGTTCCTCAAGTAGTTTTCTTGATTATTTACTTTTGAAGAGCTGGGGTAAACTTGTTTGCTTCTCCTTTCCTCTCTGCCTGAATTTGATTTCAGAAAGCAATCTCAGATAAAAGAGAGAGATTCCAGAGTCGTAATCACATGCTGCTGTTGTTGCCTTTGTTGCTGCAAGTGGCAATGTAGTGCATAGTTTACCCTACACTGTATAAAATGCCAAGAGCAGAATACATTATTTTTATTGTGATGCAATTTTTTTTTTTTGGTGAGTGTTTTCCAGAACAGACATACACGATGGTTGTGTTCATCATGAATTTATCTATAGTATTTAATTACAAGAGTTCTGCATACATATAAATAATGTATTAGAGGATTTTGCGGTGATAGAACAGCTCAGGGTACATATGACAATATCTCGCTTCTTTCTATCTCCTGTCAATTACCCTAGAGTCATACCACTTTCTTAAGTTTCAGGTCAATAAAATAAAATTCAAAGCAGAAGCCAGCATCTGGTGAGACACTAACTTCATTGCATGACTTTAAGAAGTGAATACATTCTTCATCACCCTTTTCTCCTGACAGAAGAAGATTATTCTTCTGTTTTTGCTTTTACATAGGGATTTTCACGTTCCTCCAGTATGGCTTTATTTAAAGAATTTGTAGGTCTTTATTTTCTGTCAGAATGTACAGTATTTCCCCTTGTGTAGCGATGAGGAAAAATAGTTTTTTTCATCTGTAAAATTTGCAGATATGAAGAAGAAATTCTTTACTCAGAGGGGCATGATGCACTGGCACAGACTGCCCAGAGAAGCTGTGAATGCCCCATCCCTAGAGATGTTCAAGGATGAGTTGAAAGGGGCTTTAGGCAAACTGATGTATATGGAGCTGTTCCTGCCCAGATCCCTTCCAACCCAAGCCATTCTATGTTCATAAAATGATAGAATAGCTAGGGTTGGAAGGGACCTCAAGGATTATCGAGTTCAAACTCCCTCACCGCAGGCAGGTTTGTCAGCTGCTAAATAAACTCTAGTAAAAGAGTATCTAGTGATTGTGTTGCCCAGGGCCCCATCTAACACCTGCAGGATCATATGAACATGAAAAAATAGCAATCTGATTCTTCGCTCCTAATTTTACTATTTATTCCATGTCATCTGCCTCCTAACAGATCCACTGGCCCCTAAGCTGCAACTTGTCACAAGCAAGAGACAAACACTTGGAGAGCTTTTCCTGTTTGATCTTTACAGTCAACTTTACTTCCCCCCAAGACTTTCAATTATCTCACTAAACAATGACTCAGAATGCTTATATTGATACAGGTGCCTTAATTGGTTAATTTATGCTATTGCCAGCCCAGATAAGAGTTTATTTCCCTGAGACCTCCTTAAATAATCACAGCTCCTTCTAAACTATGGTGGTGGTTCTTAGCAGGATGATGCTTGAGCATAACATTTAGACCTGTTTGCTAGCATCTCTCGTCATATTCTGATGCATGTTCAGTATAAGCACATGCTGCTCAGCATTTTTTTCTATCTTTGAATTTCTAGCCTATTGGGTTTTAGTTATAACTCTGTGATTATACAAAACTGACCAAGTGCTTTTAAAGCCAATTTACAAGAAAAAAAATCCTAATAGTATTACTTTTTTTAGTAGCACTCTGAAGTAATTTAATACTTTATAGATGCAAACAAATTTAGCTACAGTTTATCATATACACATTCATTTATGGATGCTGCCTTGTGTGTGACATTGTTTTCATTATTGACTTTTGTGGATGGAAATAATAGGTGGATTATTTACTGAATTGTCTTTAACTTTGCATCAACCAGAATAGCTAATTAAATATGTAATAACTGTCACTGATGCATCAACCAGAATAGCTAATTAAATATGTAATAACTGTCGCTGATGCAAGCTGGGATTTAAAACCAAGGTGAATGGAGATGGATAAATGCTGGCCTAAACTCAGTAATCCTTATTCTTGACGTAGCAAAAGAATAGAATATCTAATCTTATAAATCATCAGAGAAATCAGAAGTAAAGGAAATTAAAAACAACAACAACAATAATTTCCATGAAGGCTAGTTTTCCAGGGTCATGCAAATCCTTGAGTGAGCTGCCAGGGCTATGATTTTTCCAAACTTTCTTGATCAATGTAATGAGCCGGAATTTCTGCCTTAGTCCCTGGAAAGAAGTTTCCAAAGCACCTATAGAAGAGCCAAGGGTGCTGTTCAGGAACCATGACAGTTATCATGGTCTTGACTTCATCTTGACTTCAAAGATCATATCTTGCTTCATCTTTCTCCTTCCTTTCCCTTTGCTAACATGATATTGAGAAGTGCCTTCTCACCTCATTTTGCTGTATTTACTGGGCATTTTGCAGTCCGGATCTGCTGTAGAAGACAGTGTTATTTCTAGTTCATAGATGTAATATTCTACTTGCCAAAGGCTGCAGTTTGTAAACAGTAAGTGTCTTAACGTGTATCTTTTGAATTGCAGATTAGCACCCAATATGCAACAATTCTGATTTTCTGTTCATTTGAATGCATTTGCTTGTCTTTTCAGAAGAAAAAATCAGTTCATAAAAAGTAAGCCATTTCTGCCAGCCATTACGTACAATATCTATTTTGCCTTGTCTCACTGATGTGGCTCAACTATATGACCTGATGCCTCCCTGAAACATGCTAAAAGTTTGGCAGGCATATGCTTCTAAAGTGATAAAACAAAGGAATGTGATTTGACTGGAAAACCCCTATTCACTCGAAGAAGAGAGCGGTATCTTCAGATGACACATTCCAGCAAAGTATCTTTTTATACACATGAACTGACAGAGAAAATTTGTATGTGGCTTAGTCACCCTTTAGCTGAATCACCAATCTCTTAAAAAAGTAGTGTGGTTGAGATGAGGGTGTTTATTTTCCCCTGTAAAAATCAGATTAAATGCAGTGTTACAGATATTGTGCAGAGGTAGTTTTCAGTATAGGCAAGAGCCTGTTTCTCCTCTTGGATAATGGTTAATATTTTATATCACTCAGGTAACATCTCTGGTAGACTGCGTGCCAATTGCTGCTGTGCAATAGAAGGAAATAATGTCATTTCCAAATGTACCATCTTCAGGGACACTGTTTCTGAAATGATCACAGAATGGTCTATCTCTTCCTTGCAGGTGTGAATGAGCTACATAAAACTAGTTCCTCTTCACAAAAAGTGTTGTACCTGCAAGTAAATATCTGCATTTTGGACATGTGCATTGGTGGGAAAACCACCTAAGATGGTGGCTAAGGCCCCAGAAGGGCTGTCCTTCCCTCAAAGATAGCGGCTGGAGCATCCCAATTCTTCAGCACAAGGCAATTCATGGAGAACACATTTTGCAATTCTGATTCTCAAGAAATTCAGCTGGGGTTGATTCCCATTTTCCAAAAGGTCCACTGAGATGTGAATTCTATATTTCTGTGGATATATATAGTAGTACTGGAATTTTGATTCCTCACATACACTGTGCATCTTTTTGTCTTCCACAAAAAATGAGTCAAGAAAGAGGGTAGAAGAAAACAGATGAACCAGCCTGGCTTACTTTATGGCCTATCCAAGGCTTCATCTCATTGTCAAATTGCATCAATTTCCAAAGTCTGAGCGAATTTCAGTGGGTTCAGCATAATAACCATGAATATCAGAACTGCTGTGTTATTTTGTTTCCTCGTGGATTGCATTTGACAATGTAAAAAAAAAAAAAAAAGTACAAACAAACAATAAATCAACAGATGTTTTTCTTGCCTCTTACATTTCTTCTGCTATTTTTTACATATCTACAGATATGTGAATGCAGACTGAAGATTTACCGTCAGATGAGACACTTCTTGGATCTCTCTCTTTTGGTCACTGTTTTCATGACAAATATTCTACTACTGCTCAACCCCAAGGCTATTTTTTTTCTTTACCATCTGCTTTTTCTACTATAGGAGTAGCCCTCAAGATGTCATGAACTTGTTTTGTGGTACCACACATTTGAATTGCTGACCTTGCAGTGACAGTACTTGTGAGATCTGCAGATCATTTTATGCAGTCATTAAATTGATTGCTGTGAAAGTTTCTGAACATCTGAGTCTTCAACAAAAGCAACCTCAAGCCCATTACTCATTAACTGCATTTGCTTTATAGCACTTATAGATAGGAAACAGCACTGAAGGTGTACTAGGAATTTCAGTTCATTCCTCTTGCAAAAGACAGTGGAACAACTTTATCCTGCTACATAAGGTCTATCCCTTCATATACTCTATTGGAACTGAAATAAACCCAGAATGTGCCATGCACTTTCCACAGTAGAATGGGATGTCCTTTAGCATTAGAACAAGGTTTCCAACTAGCCACAAAAGGTATTCTATATTTAGAAAAGACACTTCCATACCTGAGGCTTTTTTAAAGAAGCCTGTCTTGGAAAATAGTGGAGAGTGTGCAGGAGATATGGGGAGCAATTTTTTTTTTTTTTTTTTTTTTTGGCTTGCTGTTAAGCTGGGTCTATCTTAAGGCATCCATTAGAAGTTGATAGGACAGATGAATGAGCATGCTGCTAAAACACCTGAATGGGGAATATTAGTGAGATAGCTCAGCAGGAGCATGGATGAGAAAGAGAGAGACCAGGTCATAGTGACAGGGGTGGTAATGCTATTGTGTTTTCTGAACAAAAAGTAAAGCTTATGTGTCAAGATCTGCATGGATTTAAACACTTCGTATGGAAGGCTTTTTTTCTTTCAACTATGCTTTAATGGCTCTATTAGCACTCGCTAAATTTTGAATATTGTTCATTTACGATATTTGCAATCCACCCCCATGACTCTTCTATAGCTAGTCTAATACATGCTGTGTGTGTATAATTGCCCATTATTCCATTGAAATTACAGGCAGTCACATCATGTGCATTATTTTAAATGTATTGTCATCACATGTGTCATAAATTATCAGCTTTGGAGCTACTAGCTGCATGCTTCAGCAACAGCAGGATTACTGGATGAATACGATGTGGAATACGACATAAATATTCATGCAGAGACTGTACTCATGTTCATGAAGCGTTTTCAGACTTGAGGACTCCATCAGTTGCCAACATTTCTCAAAGATGGGAACTACACAGATAACTCCCTGGACAATTAATTATTCATTCATTTTGCATAATCTTCAAGCTTAGTTTCATCCGTTGTTTAAAATGCATGCAGAGAAAGCCTTTTGTTCTGGAGAAAGTGAATAGCAGATGAGAAGCTTCCTGGAAGACTGCATCCTTTTTACCTACACTGAATTGTGTGGGTTAAAAAAGGTTTGTATCAGCAATGGGGTACATCCACCAGAATTGTCAGCTCTCTGCTCTTTGTGGTTGTTGTCCAAAGTTGGCTTTGGTAGAAATATGACAAATAAAATGAAAATAGATTTATGAAGTTTCAATAATCTGTCATTTACCTTCTTGTAATGTTAAGTTGGAATGGTACTACTGTCCCCAAGTCCACACATGAGGGAAGCTGCAAGGCTTGGCACACTGACATGAAGCAAGAGTCTCCTCATGCAATCACTGACTGTAGAGAACCTTCACTGTTATCAACTCAGGGTCAGCCCTATCTAAGTGTCTGACTGCCATGTATTTCAAGGGGAATTACACCTAATGCAGCACAGCAGTCATGAGGTAATGTTACCTCTCTTTTGGCCCATAATAGCTAACAAGGATATAGTAGACCACGATCATGTACACGTCAATAAAGTACTTCAAATAACTAGTACTATGCTTAGATTGTCTATGTGAAGATGCTTCTGTTAGGAGAGTGTCCGTGTTTTGAGACTTAAATGGCAATGCACTCTGGAGCAAAACTGTATGTAATTCATAGTCCTTTCTTTCCTGTGCAAAAAAGTTATGAAAAGACAAAAAGAAAAGTTTCTATTAGGTATGATTTCCTTTTCAAATGGGGCTGTAGAAAGTACAAGAGGCAAAAATAAGGCTGTTCAAAATCTTCTAAATGGTTTTGTTCTTTCTAGTCTGCCTAAATGCCCGTGTGATAGATCATCTGCTAGCTACCTTGCTGACAGGAAGGTTTGATAGGAGGCTAGGATTTTGAAAGGTCTCCCAGGTATTATACACAGAAATAGATCTAGATAACTTATATCTCCATTCTGTAAATCAGGGCTTAAGTATGTGTAAAGCAGAGCATCATTCTAGAGGTCCCCAACTTTGGCATAATCTTAGTCAAGGGTGAGCTTGCAAGCAGAATTGGTCTGGCTGGTCAACTCAGGCGGCTAATAGGAAGGAAAAACAGAATTTGGTAAATTGTGCAATTTGGTTTCAAAAATGGGGATGTGCTGAGCTCACTTGCAATTTCTGCCTATGGTGAAGTGCACTGCGATTGCAGCTGGTCTACCTGCACATTCGTTAGTACAGAAATCACTGCCCAGAGGTGGAAGATCTTTCCACAGTGCTGCTACAGGCAAGATCCAGAAGCGAGAAATGCTCTCTGTCTTCTCAAGAAGAGACTGTTTCTATCTGTCCCTTAAAGGTGATCAGCATTTTCAGCTGGTTCAATAACCCATTTGTGCCAGAGCAGTGCAACAGGAACAAAGCATGACTGAGAGCTACATGCTATAGTGCTGTTTAGAGCTTTTCCTTGACAACTATTTTCAAAGGCACAAAGAATGGACATTGCTATTTTACCTGTCAGTTCAACCTTGTTTACACAATCAAGGAAACATTTAAATGTGCTGAGACTGTGGATTGCAGCTTTCTTTACAGGTCCTTTTTTTTTTTTTTTTTTTTTTTTTTTTTAACTCTGCTAAAATTGTTCCAGTAATTAATTGATTTTCATAGAATGTGGCATTTTCTTTCATCCACACAGGAAAGTGGTTTTCTGAGATAGAGCAGATTTCCTGATTTGCTTTTTCTGTGCAGTGGGCAGAAAATGGTAATGAGGAGAACGTGATTTCAAGCCAAATCTCAGCAGAGAACAGTTCTTGGTTGTAGTGGCATCTATGTTAGCATGAGTAGCATGAGTCCACCCCATGACTTTATCTCATTCTTATAGAGATGACCAGGAGTTTACCACTTTCAAGCAAGCCTTAGTGACTGCTGGACTAACTTCTGTGGAAGCTGTATGTTGTTCCCACCCAACACACATGGATGATGCCATATTCACACCTTGTCTTGAGCTGAAGCATGTCTTTTGAAGCTTTGGTATGAAAGAAGCTTTCCTGCATGAAGCTTTCCTTTACCTAATAGTGAAAATCATAAATAATATTGTTTACTTTATGAAAATCCTGTGAATGCTCTACAGACCACAGCACTGATGAACCTCACTACAGGTGGGATACTGGATGAATGGTCTTATCCAGTACTGCAGTGGCCAATATTCCCAGCATCAAAAGAGAAATCAGATTGCTATTAACTTTTCTAGTACTTCTAGTAGTATCAGGAGTCTCCAGGGACAGGGCATCAACCACATCTCTTGGCAGCCTGTTCCAGTGTCTCACCACCCTCACTGTAAAAGGCTTTCTCCTTGTATCCAACCTAAATCTCCCCTCTTTTAGTTGAAAACCATTTCCTCTTGTCCTATTACCACAGACCCTGATAAAGAGTCTGTCCCCTTCTTTCTTGTAGCCCCCCCTATAAGAGGCTGCTATCAGGTCTCCTCTGAGTCCTCTCATCTCCGGCCTGAACAGCCCCAGATCTCTCAGCCTGTCCTCACAGCAGAGGTGTTCTATCCCATAGAAAATTTTTGTGGCCCTTCAAAATCCACTTGTGGATATGTTGTGGCAGAGAATAACACGCCACTGATTTTCTGAACTTGCAGTGGTTACTGGTAAATCCATTGTCAGCTTCCTCCTGGCTGAGAATGGTGGTTTTCATGACTTCATTACTGAGCTGATTTATCTTTGCGTGTTTTTCTTCAGTGTTCTGGGAGCAGATCCAAATCCACACATTCTTATATAGCAAAGCCAGACATTTCACAGCACTTACAACAAGAGAGCAAGGGAGCACATGCTCCAAAATATGGACTACTTGTTTCTTCTACTTGTCATTTACTGGACAGACCACTTTTGGTTAAGGTGAGTGATCCATAGATCTATCTGTCGCAACAACCCTAAAATGCCCAAGGCATCAGGTGCTGCACCTGCCTCCCTGATCCTAGCTTATCTCCTTGTCTGCACTTTGTGAGGATGCCTTCATCCAGGAAGGATACCTTTAAGTGAGATGTATTTTCAGACTCGAGTGTTCCTGTTTTGTTGACCAGGTCAGATTGGCTGGAAAAGGCCCTGGCTTGAATGTGCAGTGGTAGCAAAGCAGGTAATCAAAGACAGGGAGACTCCTTGGAGAACCAGGGCTGGCAAGTAAAGGAGTTGTAACCCCTTGTTAATGAGGCCACCAATGCTGTAAAAAAACAAGGGGAAAAAGACTCAGAGCAGCAGGAAACCAGATGACAAACATTTTAAACCTTTCCTGTTATCTTGGTATACAGCTTAGATCCTCATACAGAAACCAATGGGGGAAAGAAATGGCACCAGAGTAGCAGAAAATCTATTTCACCCTCTCTTTTCCTCTTTTCTAATGTGCTCTCCAATACAGATATGGCAAAGGTACGGAACAGCAGCAGGAAAGAATGCAGATGATGATTGAAAGAAAAAGGGACTGCACTAAATGCTGCCCCACTCAGTGCCTCCCTACTATGAGAAGTAATGTGACTCAATGTGCATGATGATGTGCATCTCACCTATTTTAATCTCAGGATTTCAAGATTTAGGTTGAACTCTTTGATTTCATGGAAATCTTGGGGTAAATTGAAGGCATGGCCAATATAGAAGGAAAAGAAACAGGAAGGGACTAATCAGAGATGAATTTCTTTCAAAGACTGTTCTACCCAAATATCACAGAGAAATGCCTTAACAAAGGAGATCTTCTATCAAAAGAAAGCCAAAGTGAGATCATAAAAGAAATGTCTTAATATAAGATCAGTAGAAACATAATTATTCCCAAATTTGCTATAGAAAATCAGATGAGGCACAGGAAAAAAATTGTGCCTAGTTATCCCTGAGAGAATGGTAACTGCAGTTACGTCAGTGCAAGAGTTTGCCTCCAGCTCAAATCTTTTCTAACCTATCTTTTCCCCCAAGCTGTCTCAGGGTTGTCAGTGCATGCTGCCTATCTGTCACTGATTCAACAGCTGGTCAGAGACTTTGCCAGTGCTGATGATATATGGAAAGTTCAATTTGTAAAAGGTGAGGCCCACACCATGAAAACAACATTCCTTCAACTCTGAGTTTAGTCAACCCTTATAGCTCTTGGGAATCAGAATAAGCAGCACATCATTTTTTGGAGGCAACCACATGAGTCATGTGGCTTATGACGGCTAGACAACAATTATTTTTACACTGAAACTCGCTGATCTGAGACAGTGGTGTATTTTAATGTTATAGGGCTTTGCTGTGCTCAGCTGAAGCCCCAGTTCCTTAGAGTTATGACTAGAATCACTTGGTGATTTTCTATCAAATCATATTCAGTGGACATTTCTAACTACAGCAAAGAGTTTAGATGCCTCTGAAAAGTGAAATAGCTCTTCTAATCTTTGAGGTCAGTATAATTTCTAGCTCCTGAAATGAGTGACTTTGCCACAAGATTTGACTTTTCTTATGTATTGTTTACAGATTCATTAATGCACAGAAGTACTGTATGTACATCTGTGCATTAATGAATCTGTAAACAATGTTATCTACATATCAGTTATGCATCGGAATCCTATTTTAAACTGCATATAAGAAAAATTACATTTATATATGAATGGCACTGCAAAATATCTTGGCTCATAATTTTTATACAGTTTGGTTCCAATTTCATGAAACTGTTCTGCTCAGTTAAAAAGCACTAGTACTAATTCCTAATTCAAAGTCCACTTGAGGCCATGAGCAAGATAGATTTGGGTGAGAGTTTTTGCTGGACTAGGGTTCACCAACACCCAGTGTTACAAGTGTATGACAAATATGAGGCAGAGCTGGAGCAGCATTTGCATACAAAAATGTTTTCAAGTTAGTAGGTTATACTCACTGTTTCCAATGCCCTGTGTTATCTGGATAAAACTTCTGATTATAATGAGCCTGCAAAGCCTTCTTGAATATAGGACCTCAAAACAGCACGGTTATTCTATACATTAAGTGCCTACTGGAGCCATCTGTGAAAATCACAGCCACTTTTGTGCTGTCAAGTGATAAAATTTACAGCAGCTCTTTTCTTAGGCCTCAAGGTAGGGTAACTTTATTATCAAGGAGCCAGAACCAGACTCACAACTAATGTCTTGCACTTCCCACAGTAGTGGTCCATGGCTTGAGGGGGAATCTGAGCTGTAGATAAGAAGCTATTGGAACAATCGTTTACTGAGTCTGTGGTCCAAAATATTGATTATCCTC